TTTTATTTTGTTTCTAGGCCGAGCTAAAGGTTTTGCAAGAACGTGAAGCTGAGCTCAAGAAAGAAATGACATCGTTGAAAGAGAAAAACCATAGTTTAGAACAAATGTTGAACGAGCTTATTACGAAAGGTAAGTATATATAGACTTGAGTTTGAAACTATATTTCTTTTTTGGTGGCTTGGGATGGGGCTTAGGAAGTAGTCGAGAAGAGGGGAGGGGAGGGTTGTTTTTGCTGGTGGTAGTGATGAGAGGGGAAGGACATCTTCATCTCCTACACTTGTTATTCTTTAGATGGTAAACCAGTAGAGGAAAGCAGCCCATCTCGCCGAGAAGAAATCAACAGGATATCAAGAAAACTAGCAACTCTCGAAATGAAGGTATTGAAAATAATAAATTGTAATTTTGATTGACAGATTGCCCAGTATTCTGATTGTTTGATTATAGGAACTCAACGAACGCGAGCGAGCTGAACACGCTGCAAGAAAGTATGAACAGTTAAAAAAAGTTTTCGATGAACTAGAGATTCGTAATGCAGACCTTGAACAGAAGTTTAGTGAGGTAAGCATGCTTTACCCTTGGCAGTTATCCATAGTTTTTGTCCATTCCTTGCCACCCTTACTTATTGGAGCAGTGAGCAACCACTTGCACAAAACGCTTGCATGTTTTTATGGTTACTCCTGTAATAAGGTAGAAATCCACTATGTGTTGTCTAGTAAGTGTGTAACAAAGGAAGAAACTGTACCATAGTTCATACGGTGGAATTTTAGAATCATTCCGTCAGTCACTTAATGTAGTCTTGGTTTCAGTCGAAGTGCAAACCTCTACTTTTTGTTAATTTCATTTTACATTGAACTTGTTATTCTCGAAGATTGGCATGTTAAACCTCGAAGCGCAGCGAATAGAGCGTCATTTACGTGAAGAACTAGAAGGCGCTGTCACCAAGAATATGCACGAGTCTGTTCTCAAGAGGTTACATTCCTGTGAAGAATCGGAATCTAAGCTGAAAGTTGAAGTATCTCGGCTTAAGGAGGTGGCAGAAGTCGCCGCACACCAGGCCGAGGCTGTTAGGGCAAATCAAGAAAATCAGGATAAAGAATTGATGGCTTTAAGGAAACAGCTGTATGATGTACAGATGGAGAGCGATGAGAAGACGATTATTGGTAAGTTTACATTGCTATTGATTTTGAAATGAGGGTAAAAAACTTGTCTTGGGTTACCTGTGTCGCCTCAGGAAGCCCAGTAAGTTAGAAAAAAAGTGTTTTTTTTATGTAGCGCCTAGGAAAGTATGCGCTTCTTATTGATCTTATTGTATTTCCTTACAGGCAAGCTACACCATCACATTGTCGCTCTTCAAGTTAGTGAAGGAATGGCAGTCAAAAAGCTTGAAAGTGCAACCCAGAAAGTATCAAAACTCGAGGCGCAGATTCTACGCCTGGAACAGAAGATAGACGAGAAGGACCAAACATTATATCACACCAAGATGGAAAACAGAAACAAGGAGAAGTTTTTGAAAAGAACCATTCAAGAACTACGRCGACAATACAGTGGTTCTTTACCTCTGATGAAGCAAGAAAGGTTTGCATTTCACGCATTTTTCATTCAGTATTTTATTGTCCGCAATATCGAGCTGTTCGTTGTAGCGGGGTGTACGTAATGCGAGAGTTGACTGTATCGGAAACCAGTTCCCTTCATAAACATATTGCGCATTSTTTTCTAGATTTGCTAACACAATGAGATCTCTYCGAGAAGACAAAATCAAGCTAGAGCAAGATGCGGCCAAAGCCAAGACAAGAAGAGAAGCTGCAGAAGACAAACTAGCAGAGCTTGAAYTRARACAAACAAGTCTTGAGGAGCTYATCGCAACRYTGAAAGACCACAAAGGTGCTGCTAAAGTCACTGAATGGCATACAAAGATGAATGAAATCAGACTTCAAGATCTTAAACTTAATCGCACTTTAGATAGGTAAGCATGGTTTGGCATAATTTTCTATAAAATACTTATATTTCCATTACGTAAAGTTGTTATTTCCACTAAATTAGTAGTGAAAATAACACATTCGAGGTTTCATTATATAGTGGAAGTAAGAAAAAAGCTATTTTACGACATAATCTACCGTCATATGCAATTATATGATAAACAGAATATAACATGGTCGCTTGGAGATACGAATTTTATCTTCTCGTGTTATAACATCCATATCTCCGCGCGCCCTTGTATAATATCCTCTATATCCCCACTTGGTGTTTTCTACATCAATCAATACTCTAAATTCCCAGAACTTCTTTCGAGACCCTTATTGTGTCAATTATTATTATAACAGAACCAAAGAACAAAATAAACACCTAGAAAACATAATCAAATCACACGAAAGAACGATATCAGACTATGAAGAAGACATCGTCCAGATGAGTAAACTACACGAAGAAAGRCAACTRYTATGGGAACAACGTGAAGTGGAGCTTGAAAGAACAGTTGATCGACTTGAAAAACAACAAAAGGACATGTTAGAAGCTGCMACTCGATTTGAGGAAGCGACGGGAGCCATACCTGATCCTAACCTACCTGTAGCTAACCAACTGGAGCTTGCTGTCAGGAAGATTAGGGAACACATTAAAGTAATTATAGGAACAAAATATGAAAACAAAAACTTGACAAAGGTAATGTATATAGTTATAGTTTATCAAACCTAAGTATCGTGCTTCTAGGAAGTGAGGRATTCTTKAGTTATAGAGACCACACAGTGCCGCATRTCACATCTTTGTTCCCCGATCTGGGCAGAATTCATCGTTGTTTCTCTTCACTCCAACCTGGGCGTTAGGATTCATCGCAGCCCGATCCATTTTTTTGTAATCTATATATAATCTAAAATAGCTTTTTGCGATCATTAGAAGACAGAGGAAACTGAGAAAGCACTCAAGCAAGCCGAAGAGAAGTTACTCCAGAAAGACAAGGTGCTATAATCWCTATGAACATATTCTAGAGCACATGCATTACTAACAACACTCTAAACATCACCTACAGGTCATTAACGAGCTGCGTCTTCGTCTCCCTGTGTCTGAACGAGACTCTATTACTCAAGCTGCAACTAAATCAGCAGAAAAAGATGACTACGAAGCAAGACAGGCCTTGAAAGTTGCACAGGCCACTGTATCAAGTCTACAGGTGGGATGAAAACTCGGATGCGCCTCGTTTTTTACCACCGCACCCTTTTTTGGTCTTTGATACAGCGATCAAACACATCGTACTCCTGTTTGATTTATTACATATACCAATATCATTCATTAGAAGACTTGATCATTCCATTTATTGCCACCAGTCAGTAGAATACTTGATCATTCCATATTTCGCCATCATTCATTAGAAGACTTGRTCACTCAATATASCACTTAAATTCATTAGAATATTTCATCTTTCCATACATTATCATTCATTATTCACTATCAATTAGAACACTTGATCATACTAGTAACCTGAACATCAAATCATTCTATTTCAGCAAATGCTTTCTCGTAAAGAGCAGTCGTTAGTTAAGTATCAGGAGATGCTGAAGGAAGCCAGAGATGAAGCAAAACAACAAACTGATCAACACAAACTAGAAATCAAATTACTACAGGRCAGGCTACACTTAGAATCTGATGAAGTGTTYAAGAAAATGAAATTATCCCATCAGGTAACAAGTTAGAGACCTTTCGCTCTTATGTATACAAATCCAAACACTGTGGTACCATACGTATATGGGTGATTAAAGAGTTGAATGACATTCTACTTGTTTTCTCCACTTCATTGACATCTGTGTATGTTATTTTCTAAGGAGTCGGTTAACGCACCTGGCCGATTGATACCATCTGAAGATCAAGTAAGTTCCAGCAGATATTACACTTTTATTGTTTCTTTGTTACATTGTGAATTTTCAAATCTTGGCATAGTATTTAAATGCAAGTTTCAGTCCCATGTTCAGCACTTCGTTTTGTTGGGATTCCTCTTCCTCCTTTTAGAAACAGGAAGCCCAACAGAAGCAAGTGCTTCAAGAACAAACTAAATGTCAATATGGACTTTGTACCAACTCGGTGTCTTTATTGTAGCTTGCACGTTTGTCCGAACTAGAAGAGACAGTGGCAGAGCAAGACAACGCGTTGGCCATTGCGGCTGAGAAATTTAAACGATCRCGTGATGACAACGTGAAGTTACGAAGGGACCACGAAGATCAAGTCAACGCATTGAAAAAAGAGCATGAACGGTGAATGTCAATTTTTAATGAGAATACCTAGCACTAAACCATGTGGGATAGACTGGGAAACTATATTAGCGCATGCGTAATCGTTATTGTTCAATCTTTATCATATAAACGAAAAGCGGCAACAGTTCAGTTCAGTAGTACTCAATCCAGCCATACAGCTTCATTTTACTTGTTAATAAAGATTTATCTATCGTATAATGCTCTTTTATGAAACTTGTGATAACGATGGCTGTGTTGATGATGATGATGATGATGAATTGTTAGAATCATAGTGAATATAAAGCTGAGGTCTTGTCTCAGTATATTGTATGTAATTATTGTTTTCCATATCCAGAAAAAGTGAAAACTACGATAAGCAAATAAGAGAACTCCGAGACGAGATTCAAATCAAAGACAACAAAAACGAGGAGAAGAATAAACAGGTATCTCGAACACCACTAAACGTTTTTTTTTCTACGGTGTAGATGTATTGATATTGGACTGTTTTTACAACAGATTGAAGTTCTTAGAGAAGAACTGGACGCTGCTAAAGAAGCCAACGAACGAGCGCCTACTCGAACAATGAAACAGTTAGTTGAACGTCTACGAAATCAGCTGGCATTGAAAGAAAAACAGCAGAAGGTAACGGAATTATGGTACATTTTTAAAAGCTATTTCAATGATTGAAAGACCTGCCCATACTTACAGAAATGTATATGTTTTTGTGGGGGTGGGGCATGTGTTTTCGGTCTTTACGTTTGGTTGTTTACGTTTACCTTGACTAGTTTACGTTTACGTTAGGTCTTTTACGTTTACGCTAGGTAGTTAACGTTACGTAGTCCACGTAACGGAAAATATAAACTTCTGTTTTATTTGAATTGCAGTCATTAAGCCAAGCTTTATTACAACTGAGRGCTGATATGGTGACAGCCGCTGAAGAAAACGTACAGGTAAACGAGGCCATCCAGTTTTCCTTCTTTTTTCTATTTTCACACACTTTTTTACCTTTTCTGTTTGCACTAGCATTAACAAAATAAAKATAAATGGAAAGCTATCTTCTCTTTCAATGTTTTTTTTTATGATTTTTGTATTATGTTTTTTGTAAGGTTAAAAAAAGACAAAAAWTTTATTGGGGCTCAGACGGGAATCGAACCCGTGGCCTCTCGCACCCAAAGCGAGAATCATACCACTAGACCACTGAGCCGTCCTTATATGCAAATTATTAACTTTTCATAATTTATTACGTTGTTTTTGGTTCAACCTGATGATTGACAGGTGTCAGTTGCTATAGTGACGGGTACCAAMCATTGTTGACATGGTTGCTGGTGATGTCAGAAATCAAATAAAAATATCACTTGTAGTTCCATCTTTGGAACGATTTTAACACTTAGAAGTAGTGTTTACCTATTACAAGCTTCTATTTATTGCGATAATAAACGTTTTATCTATCCATATGCTGTGAAATTACAGTAAATTCTGTCCAATGTGCAAATTACTTTTCATTCTCTCTATATACGTAAAATTTCTCTAGCAAAGAATCTTCTACATCTATTTTAACCGTACTTATTGATGATTGTAGATGCATGCAAAGAAGGCTGAAGAAGAAGTTAACGTGCAACATGTAGTGGATAAACAAACTTCGGGTTTGCAGGTATATATTAACTGCTATCAGCATCATCATCATCATCATCATCATAGTCACGTCACTGTGTACTTCATCAGCATCACTTCCACAGTCATTATTCTTGGGTTGTAATCAAGTGGACGAAAATTCCACGAAGAAAAAGAAAAGATGACGACGGCCTAATAACATAGCACCTTGTTATGATTTTTTTTATTCAGAATCGTATTGAAGAATTACAAGAGAGAATGGAAAAGCTTAAACGAGAATTGAAAAATAGGAAAGAAAGAGAGACATCTCTTGTGGAGGAGAAGGATAAATTAAAACAGGTCGGTACTCCGTTACATCAACTCACAATTCCATTTTCTTGCGCTTCCTTTTCCATCGCTTCCTTCCTTCCTTCATAGCTGTTAACATCCTCTCTTTTCTTATCCTTTATTTTTCTTACATCTGCATTCTTTTAACTCCTTTTTCGCACTTTTCCTTTTCCTTTTTTCCATTTTCGTTTGTTGAGATTTTTTTCATATTTCTTTACCATTTCTCATTTCTTTCCTTATCTTGTTTCTTTTCTTATTTTTCCATTAATCCTTCATCTTTTATTTGATGCCTCTTTTCAAAGGAGCTATCTAAAAAAGATTCCGCATTGCTAAAACTTGGCGCAGAAGTAAAGGAYTTGGAAAATATACAAGACCGTTTGGAAAGAAAGGACGACGAGCTCGCTGACGTGAAAAGAAAGGTGAAACAATCAATTCGTTAATAGGCATTTTGAATGAAACGATGACATGGTACTAAATCCGCCATACTGGATGGCAAAAGATTGTACACAACCTCAAAAACAAAAGGAAAGCAGCCCATCAGACTTTTTTTTTGTTCCAGCATGGTTAATTTAGTACCATGTTACTGTTTCATGCAAAGAGCTTTTACTAGATGCTATCAGAGTCATGACATCCAAGGAGAATCCGATTTTTACGGCGTAATCTACGTAATGCCACGTAACGTTAACGTACCCTTGCAATAGGTTGTGCGCGCGGAAAATGACGCTGAAAAACTCCGTAAGCAAGTCAAGTCTTTAGAAGATCAGTTGGGCGTGGAGAGAGCAGAGGGTGAAATTGTAGTCATCGAGAATCAAGACTTAGCAGCAGCTGCGCCACCTACYTTTGATTTCCCACCTGAGCAAAAGGTACGTATGTTGTATTGGCACTGATTTCTCGTCGTTGTTACTATCATTGGTGTCAGTAACTACCATTATTATATGTAATAGGACTCCATGCTGTCCAATTAAGAAATAATTGGACGAGGAAAATTCCGAGGACTGCCAAAAATTGGACGAGGCCGTGGCCGAGTCCAATTTGGCAGTCAGAGGAATTTTTCGAGTCTAATTATTTCTTAATTGGACAGCATGGAGTCTTATTACCTATTAATTATATAGTCACATATTGATCCCAAATAGGCAAAAGCCAACCACAGCTTTTAACAAAAACCCAATTGAAAACCTGTCCAATTAATTTCTTAATTGGACAGGATTCCAAAATTAACGAAAAATCCAGCTTTTACCTATTTGGGATTAATATGTGGCTATATAATTAATATTGAAATATTGCTCTTGGCCGTTAAGAAAAGGGCGCGGAAGAATTCGATTGCTAGCACGGTAGGTACTGTAAATTGCACCGTAACGCAGTCTGCAGTTTCACGTATTCAACCTTGCAACGATTAAAAACGATAGTAACGTTGGTATCAAACGTAATATACTATGAATTAAGTTTATGTTGGTCGTCTGACTCTATCATGTTAGACTGAACAATTTAGTACAATTTGTTTTTTTATTGTTATTTTCTTTAGTTTTTAGGCTAAAAAGTATTCTGCTTTTCATTTCAGTCCACCAAAAGTAACATAGAAGTTGCCAAGTGGGAAGARAGCAAGAAATGGCAACGAAAAGTCGAGAATTTACGAGAGAAAYTGAACGACAAGACAAAAGAACTCGAAAAAGCTGAGAAAACTAACACAATGTTGAGAGAGGCGCTGCAAAGAGGAGAGAAAGACAAAGCTGGTTTACACAATAGATTGAAAAGGTGGTTAAATTGGGATCCCTGTAGCATAACGTGTAACGAAAGTCATGATATAAATTATTTATAGTTGTCTGGTTATTGTCATGGAAACGGCGTCAAATGCAAATATTCAACGTCACGCTTCGATTTCACGTTAGAGTACAGCGATAAACGCAGTATTTTTGCTTGTTTTCAGTGCTGTTCGCGTTGGTAGTACACCCGTAGTACCTCCATCATCGGATGAGTTTGTGCAGGATCTCAAGCATAAAATATTTGCCTTGGAAGACGAGGTAACTTTAGCTGTTGTATAAATTGAATAAATATAATTTGAATCGTTTGTTTGTTGTTATTCCATATAGCTTAAAAAGTATTATTTACGTTCTTGTCTTGCAACGAAAAAATGACGATAAAGTGTAATGATTACTTTTAACAGTTCATTACTGTGTTAGTGCTGCGGTAGGTTCGTTTCGTAGTAAGTAATGTAACGTACACTGTAGCATAGCGTAACGGGAATTACGTTACAAAACGTAACGCATTGAAATGAAACTGCAATGGAATTAACATAAATGACGTAACGTAGCATGAATGACGTAACGTAACACTATGTATGACGTAACGTAACATCGATAAACTTTTGCAGAATCAAGATCTAAAGCGTCAATTAGTTCTTGGACACGACAAACAGTTGGAAGCGTTACAATTACGTAACGATCAGCTGAATGAGGCTGTGAAGTCTTTGGAAGAAGAGCTGTCGAGACGTATGAATGACCAGGTAACATACAAAAATCAGGAATCTTCCTGAGAAAGTACATTTTCTCCTTTTTGAACAATAGATATTATTTCTTTCTCATTTTTATAGCGAACGATCGACCAATCAGACGCCGAGATGTATAGGGACATTCATGAAAAGAACCAATCGTTACAGAGACAGCTACTTGAAGCAAAGGAGGTAWTGGAGATTTCCCGTCATTTCTTGCATTCTCTCTCCTTCCCCCGGCTCTTTACTTATTTTCATTGTTTTCTGTCTCTTGCTACCCCCGTCCTTTTTTCCTTCATCACTCCTATCCTCAGTCCCTTCCTCCATTCCATTYCTCCACGTCCTTTCTAATTAGAAATGTGATCGTTCACAAATTTCAGGAGAACATGGAACTAAGGTTTGAATATGAGCAAGCTCGCAAAGAAAATCCACGCCTTAAGGTAAGAATATATGCCGAGAGGAATATAGCTCGTGCCTCATTACAGTACCAAATCTCGTTTTAACGAAAGATCTGGTTTTTCTATAGGCCCGAGTGGATGATTTACAAGAATAYGTAGAAATACTTAAAGCAGAACTGGACTCTAGTAAGAAGAGAGAAAAAGCCAGAAAGGTAACCGTCTACACGAAGCACCTTCAACTGAATACGTTAGGTTTTGTATCAGGATAATACTTTTTACAACAAATACCAAGTTACGTGCGTTCTCACGGAGATCATCATCGTTTTCAAAATGTGTTCCTTTCTAAGATGGCCGAATACGGTCAAGGTTTTCAATGGTTTCGTGTGAACGTTAGTGAGTCCAAATGCATGAAAAAGTAGATCGTTTCGTAAAAATCCGAGATCGTGTCAACGTGGCTTCATATGCCTTCGTTCTTTTCGGTAGACTAGGCTTGACTGAGCCTTGTTTGTTATTTCTATGTAGAAAAGCTTAGGAACAGGTTTAGGAGGACAGAGTGTGGAAGACATGGAACGAGTATTGGCCGCCATGCGCAGAGTTGTAGAACGACTACAGGGTGAAAATGAACAGCTGAAGAAGAGTGTTGGGGCTGGTGGACCACAATACACCACGGTCATGAAAGAAAATAATAGACTAAAGGTATGAAATATGATAATGATACCTTAAAATGATGATGATTCAAAGTTATAATGATGATTCAAATGATTTTACAGTTAGCAAGAATTTAGGACTTGTCAGTATTTTTAAGCGATGGTTATTGTATTTTAACACAGCAAGAACTAGACAGAGCAAAAGCRTCACTTAACGCGACCAAGCCATCATTAACGTCCTCTGGAGAACGAAAGAATACAACAAAGTTGATGACTGAAAATGAGAGATTGAGAAAAGAATTGAAAAAGGTACCCAAGGCTTTCTGTACTCTGTCTGTACTCTGAATACCATGAGAAAATGGGAAAAAAGGGAGAGAAGAAGTGGGACAAAAGAAAAAAAACATTCAGCAACAAATTATCAAGAAAGAGAAAAAAGAAAAATTGGTAAAATGTGAAAATAATGAAAGATGAAAATGGAAGAAAGAGAAAGGACGACAAAGAGAAGGAATGAAAGAGATGTCTATTAACGAAGTCAACCAAGAAGCATAGTCATAATTTCCATACTGTAATTGACATATGGACGTTTCTCTGCTAGGAAAAGGATGAAAGTGAGAAGCTTCGAGTCACGATTGCAAACTCGGAGAGCACSAAAACAGAATTGGTACAAGAACTTGAACAGGTAATATTCGATGTTTAATATCATAACTTGAGTGTTGTGGCTTTGAATTCAACCGTAATAAAGGGAAACCTTGAAAGAGCCTGGCTCAAACTGACCGCCAATGTGATCAATGTAGAAACTGTAACAAGTTTTTTTTGTGGCTACTCACGCCTTAGGATAGAAAATCACTATGTTGTTAATGTTGTATTCTAAGTAAGTGAGCTCTAGAATTTAGGTAAAATTTTTGATATTTTTCTCGGCATAAACAAATACTACTACATTTGCAGGCTCAAGAGAGGCTTACAGGTACAAATCTTGAGGGAATGAGTACAAAAGAGTGGAAGTCAGTAGTTTTACCSAAAGTATATGAAGAAAAAATGCAGAAACTTCAAGCAGAACTAGAGAAAAAGGTACGAGATTTTTTCTYTCATTTATGGTGAACTCATAAATATACAGTCGAACCTCTTTTATTCGATCACCGTGGAGAAAGTCGACCAGGTGACCCGCCTAACAGAGGCTGACCGTATAATACAGGTCATATCACAGTAAATATACCGCGAGTCGAATTTTGGGAAATTCATGAATGGTCGCTTAATGGAGGGTGACCGTTAATAAGAGGGTCGTTCAATAGAGGTTTCACTATAGTATTGTTACCTTGTTTCTAGACAAACTTATTGAAAGATATCAAGTCCTATTTGAAAGGTGCTGCACAACGAGAATCAGAATTACTGAAGAAACAACATGAACTCGAAGAAAAGGTAAAATGCCTAAACTATTCTATTTATCTATCATCTGGTCCAGGTTGTTCAAAGCTCGATTAGYGCTAAAAACCCTATAGARCTAAMCCTSGATTAACACTTATCGGGCTTTGAACAGCTCAGTCCTGTAGCCGAACTACAAATGATTCTTTTTGGTACTTTTTGTTTCTTTTCTTTTTTGTTTTTCTTTACTCTAATCAAACGTATCTATTTGTTTGTTTCAGATTACTGTTTTAGAGAGATTTCCTACAAATATTAAGTTAGATAGTGATCTAGTGAAGGAATTACAGAATACAAGGTTAGTTGCATGATACCAATTGTTCACAATATGTACCGTCTTATAATTAATTAACGTAATCATTTTCTCAAAGAACATCGTGACATCACGCGGCGCTAGAGTAACGTGAATAGTGATTAACGTTACGTTTTATAATGATGATTTATCGTATTTTTAGATTACGTGTTGCAAGCTTGGAGTCAGAAAAAGAGACAATCATAAACGAGATGCAACAACTACGACGAATGAGTCAAGCTGGAGAACTACCACGTGACCTTGTAAGTCATGTGATCTTGAAAAACCTATATGAGAACTTGTTAAACCTTATTTCACACCGAAAATGCCAGTTTTATAAGGTCAACCATTTGGAAACCATTTATTCTCTTGTCTTGTACTAATCCCTTTGTCATTMAATTGCCTGAACAGGGTTGGTCCTTATTTTAGCATTACAGTGTACGCATAAACAGAAGGTCGTAATTCAAGTAAATGAAGAATTTTAACAACGAAAATCATTCACCTCTTTTTTCTATTCGCAGGATCAACAAGAGATCATTGATAAAGTTAGGAAATATGATGAAATAGTGGCTGGTGAAGTTGAATTAAAGTAGGTGATAAATCTTATATTTCTTCGTATCATCCTTAGCTTTAACCAATATTTTTCATATTATCCCCAACCTTATCCAATAATTCTTCATATCATAWTCWGCCCCAACCAATAATCTTTATTGCTTCTCTCTTTTATTTTTCAGCACAAAATTAAAAACAGTAGAARTGGAGAGAGATAGGTTGTCACATGAAGTGCGCAAGGTTTGTACCCCTTAAAACATCAAAYMYTTWAATAATACTTGACTGATTTGTRATATTCCTCCTTAGCTGCAAAAAGAACTCGAAGCATTCGACCCAGCATTTTTTGAAGAAATCGAAGACCTCAAATACAACTATCAGAAATCAGTAGAAAGAAAYGTTCTTTACGAAAGGCAGCTGAAACAGTTCTCCAAACAATTCGGTGTYGATGTMAATATCCCTTCTGACGATGAAGGCAGTTGACGATTGCTACATGGAGGATTGTAGTGTCAATATTTGTACAGTGTCGATATGTATATTTTCTGTATATAAAGGTCAGGTAGATACTTCATACATCCACGCTCTCTCTTGTCATCTTCTTTGTGTGGCACATGTTACGTTCGTATCATTGTGTACTTGTACAGTTGTA